CTTTGCAATAGTTTGTCATACTCTTCAAAAATGAGTAATTATTTGATCTTTTTGAGCCTGAATCCAATTAGAAAATGTCTGCATATTGTATTTTCTGTCTATATGTAGCTTAAATTCTATTTACATTCATACTCCACTGAGAGCCATTAATGATACATTTGAGGTTGTTAAGATTTGCAAATTTTAGAATCATCTTCACTTGTAAGAGGAAAGCACTGCCAGTCTATAAGAATTCAAGGGTGAGAATATACAGTACAGGTATATGCACTAAATACCTTAGTGTATATTTAATAACGAACTGTATTTTATATTTCCACACCTGTCAGGTACGATAAGGCATTTTAATGAATGTCAACTCACCGTGGGAAGGAGGTCTTAAATGAAGCCAATTCTTCACCATGACATTCAATAAAATAAAACAAATAAATAAAATGATTTTTGAACATATATGATTCAAATCAGTTATTGATTCAACAACAGGTGAATGACTTATAGATCTTTGGATACTTCAAAGATTGATTGATTAATTTATTTCAAAATGATTGATTGGTTCAATGTAATTAATACAGACACGCAATAGTACATTGCACTTTAATGTATAAGGTTCCAAAGCATTTACACTGTTATTATCTACAAGTATTATACTGGAGTTACGTTACTTAGCTGTTATTTACTTAACTATTATTTTGATAGTGGTACAAGATTTATTTTTTCATGAGAATATACACAAATAAATTGCTGATGAATAAGCCCATATTTAGTACGGCTTTTGAGGCCTTGCATGATTTAGAAACACTTTTACTGCTGAAATTTATTCTTGGTCTTCAGATTGTAATAATAATATGAAAATTCATGGCAAAGTCTATGTTATCAATCAGGTAGTATGAGTCTACTATCACCATGGTCACCTATCAAGCAAAATGTAATATCTGCTATGTAGCGTTCAACACTGATTTATAGAACAACACTGATTTGTAGAATTTGTAAGAATTCTTGTCTTTGTTACAATTTCTTTATTCATCTCTCACTCAACGGAACATACGATATAGCAATTTTCTTGGAGAATATTACATTTCACGTAGCGCTACCTCGTGTAGGAGATATTATTTAGCTTCATTTAATGAAAACTAATGTTTTAGGAATCTTATCTTTGAGCACTTATACTTTGTATTTTGCTTATGAGCTGGCTCAAGAATTTTCATTTAGACTTTGAATTAAGAAACATAGCAAAGTAGAGCTTAGAAAGAGTGTACTCATAGAGTTCCTTGAATGCCTAATCACTGGCATTAATAAGTGCAAATTCCACGTATCCTTCTAAGATGTTAATCTTCATTAATTAACAAGTGAAATCTAAGTGCAAGAGGAAGACAAAAGAAGCAGTCTGTTTTCTGCGAATCTCTTGGTGAAGTCCCTAGTAATGCTAATGTTAACTGAGATTTGATATTTGATGGATAGTTATCTTCAGATGTTAGTTGAGGCGTGAAACACAAAGCAAAGAAATACTTAATTCATACCTGTTATTGTTCTTTTTATCGCACCCTTGTTATCGCACCCTTGGGTGCTATATTGTGATCAGTTTGATGGGTGGGTGGTTAGATGGGCATTTTCAGGTGAATAGTTCGACAGAGTATTTGAAATTTTCGGAGACATGTTTTTGTCTAAAAATCTAGGTATGACTAGTTTTTTGGCATTCTAGGTAAATATCTAGAAGTCATTTTGTATTTTTCATTCTAAAATGTTGTCTTCTATAGCTACATGTTATCTACATGTTTCATTCAAGCCAAACTGTTTAATGGATTGGTTTAAGAATTTTAGGGATGTTTCTTGATATGAAAGTTTAGAACTGATTAGTCTTTGAGCATTCTAGGTAAATGTTAATGCAGCCATTTTGGACTTCTTGTCCCAAAAATTGTCTGTTCTGTTCAAGGATGCAGAATTGTTCACCCTATGTCTTGTTCTAAACTTGATGTTATGACTTGTTAGAGAAAATGTATTCACAATTTTCTGAATTTCTTAATACAATATTGATATTATAGAGTGGTAACTTGTAAACTCTCAATTCTTGTTAATATATAGCACAAATGGGTTATATACATATAAGGAACGTTCTTAGTTTCTGAATTCTCCATATCTATTGAGATTTACAGGTGAGTTGTTCAGAGAAAGGGGAGGGATGTCAGTAGTGCTTGAAGCAAGACAACTCATAAAGTATAGTATTGTATGCATTCATTTTTGCCTTGTCATCCAATACTTAGTTATATATATTTGCTAGACTTTCCTTTTCCTGTTTTCTGTGTATGTTTTTAATATGATCTGTCTCTGGCAATACTTCCTCATTGTCTACTGTGTAACTAATATTATTGTCATTGACGAAGGACACACGAGTTCTTACATTCCTGTTTTCTCTGAAATGAAATTATGTGGCTTGTTCATTTTGTCCCACATGTTCCAGATTTTAACCTTGTGATGCTGCAAAATGTGTTTTTGATTTGATTTAACTTGAATCAAAGTAATGAATTAGTTTTGGCAAGTTTAAACCTTATATAGTCAATGATGTGAAATATTGCAAAGGTAATATTATTTTATCCGTAATTTCCAGATCCTAGTGTTGACGTGCCTTGCATTCATTTCACAGCATTAGTCACTAAAATATTAGTCTGTTTGCATTAATTCATGAAGTTAAGAACGGTGTGGATTCATGTATTACCCTGAGATAATTGGTTAGTGTACTTAACCTCTGACTATATCAATCATTTTACATTTGGTATTTATGTCATTAGCTGTAGGCATGAATTCTCCAGTTGTTTACCTAATTTACCTGTTGTCTGAAACTGTTTTCAAGTGGCTGATAATGCCTTCAGCAAAGCCACTACAAGTGTATAATGTTTATGTATTTGTAAAATAATTTTCAATAAATAAAAAAAAGACAAAAACTGTTTCCATGTTAAAATGTCCATGAAGTCCTGTTGTAGTCGGAGAGCATGAGAACATAAAACAATCTTGAAACCGAAATCAAGTTCGGTCTCATGAAATCTAGCTTTATCTTTCAATCGCTATTTGAGATCATGTTTGTCATTTTAAGATGAGTCAGATGTTTTTGAACTAACCTATTTTCAAGAAATTCAGAAAAAGAAAAAATGTCATTATATTCACAATCGCTAATTAATAAGTAAACTCACATGTCATTTGATATAATGTAGGATAGGGAGGGTTTTAGAACATCCGTACATCCTTGAGAAATGTAGAAAATAACAACCTGATTGTGTTTCCCAACTACAAATTGATAATAAAAAAGCTAGGTATATTAGAAAAGATTATAGGTCATTAGAAAAGATGAATAATGATGATGGGAATAAATCATTAGTGGATTATTTGATGAGTGGGTTGACAAGAAGTATGACATTTGACCAGCTGTCATAGAGTAATTGCAAATAAATATACTATTTTCCCTGTTTCTATATATCTAATTAGCTTTTGCCTGTCTGTATTGATTGCCTCTTGTGTTGCACCAAATTACCTGGTGTGGTCAAAAGCTGAACCCTTTTTGAAAACATTTCTCATTTCAACTCAATATTTCATTGTGTTTTCAGATCTTTACAATTTTAACTCTTATTTAAGTGGCATCTGCGAAAAGCCAATTCTTGAGAGTTCAAAATGACAATCTGATTTAGCTATAAAAGTTCTTTTTTATGATGTCTTGATCACAGTAGTATAATAAAAGGACTGCTATATCTTTGTAGACTATATCTATAGACTTTGTATGAGGAACTTGATGAAATGATGCGCAGTTTGTAATTGATAATCTGTCTTACTGTAATAATAGGTCATAGATTATACCTAGGTCATAGAAAGGGCAATCATGCCATACATGCGATATGTATACTCTCAACTGTTTAGCTAGGAATGGGTGACATGGGGACTTTAGCCTTGTACTTTCTGTCTCAGAATGTGCAATTGATTAGAGAATTTACCTGGAAAATGTGTTTACTATTTCTGTATACTCTATATATGTTCAAAATCCTTGTATGTTTCTGTGGAGGTTTCAAAGAATTTATTGCTTGGGAAATTTGATGATGGAATGTAGTTTATTTTCAGAATTTCCAAGATTTGGTTGGCTTATATAGATATTTTTTAATTAGTGATATTTAAACAAATCTTTTACTTGTTATCATTAGGATGCTTAAATTGTTTAATTTAGGATGCTTAAATTGTTCACAGAGTTGATCACATACAGGTATATTTCTGCAGTTTCATTTTAAACATCTCCTGTTGATTTTGACCACTTATGAATCCAAATCTGACTCCTTTTTCATAAGTTAACCCATTTTGGAGATGTTAACACTGGAAAGAGACATGTTTCCCACCTGTGTTATTGAACCTTAGTCACCTATATGTAATAACACTAGTGAAATGGCTGATAAGTTACTTTGAGCTGTGGGGTCACCTTGTTATATCCTACGTACTATAGTTTATCTTAAAAGCATTGTAATAGAACACTCCCTGCCTACATAATTCTACTTAATTGATCTATGCTCATTGAGAAAATATATTCCTCCATATTTGAACTTAATTAAGGATTAGCATTTATGATTAGTATTCAGAATTTATGAGTTTGGATTATGTTCTACAAATTACTGTTGAATAATATTATTGGAGGGTCATAAACTAGAACTCAGGTTAGTAATCAGGATGTTGTTGGTTCAGATCCCATCTAGGTGGAATGACTTATATCGCACAATGAAAAAGTGCTACATACTTGTCGCCCTGTGCTTCTGGTTGTGTGTGTGTGGGGGGGTGCATATCTGTTCAATTTAGAATTTTTACTAGTATGCAAGAGCAGAAAGTGCCAAGATTTGAATATGTTTTGGCATGTTGCGTAAATTACATGGGGGGCATTTTACTCATCAGTGATTCTGGTTCTGTGTCTTCCAACATCAGCCCCAATAGCAAAGGATTTGACCCAGTGATTGAAATTAATCTTGAACATTCCTTTGTTTCAGGGATAACTTGGCCAATGATTCTTACTTGGTATCTCAAATGGATGGCGACCAGTATGTCCCCATAGCAACCATAGCTGGGTTTAACCAAGTACGCAAACTCACAGATGATATTGAACTCGTCCGAGATGTCCTTAGATGTAAGTAATACAACCAGGAAATCGCGTTGTTCACATATACTGTTCACGCATAATGTTCACGTATTAACTCCCAGAAATACATATGTGAACATATACTGTTCAGAAATTAATATGTGAACATTTTATCACAACTCAACATATTCCTATGATAAAGTTGCTGTGGTTTCTGTTCAATTTTGTTAATGGAATTGTAAGCTGATATTCAACATATTGTTTTTTGATTGATGACTGTTCTATGACATCTAATAGCATTCTCTGCCATATATAAGAGATGCATGTAATTTATTATATTATGTATTTTAGCATCTGCTCATGTCCAAGTGGATGAGAAAGGTGAAAAAGTTCGACCCCTCCATAAACGCTGCATTGTTATACTACGGGAAGTGCCCGAGTCCACCCCTGTAGAGGTATGTCACATGATCATGATGTCACATTAGGTCACATTTCTAGCGTTGATAGCGTGGAATTATCCTAGGGATTTTAATGTGTCACTTTGACTTTGTTATCATTAGTTGTAGTCAAGTGATGAGTCAGGTTTTGTTCATATAGATGTACGCTAAAAGCTGTCTTAGTGAACACCACTTCAAGACATATTTTACATTGACTCCTGTATAATACCTCTCTGTAGTGAACACCTACCTACAATGAAGACTTTTTTGGCTTAGTATGTGTTCACTATATTCAGGTTTTACTGTACCCTGTATATATGTATTATTATTGACTGATGTCATAACAATGACATATTGGTCACATGTAAGATATAACATGATGTGGTAGTACCTCAATGGATTAAAATATTCATCGGCCAAGGCTATAGTCGAACATATGTTCAATGGATTTGTTGTTTTTCAATACAAAACATCAATGAAATTGACATTTGAAATGTTTCATTGTTCATTAAAACAACATCACTAACATTCATCTTTCCATGTCCGTTGTAATCAAATATTCAACAATACGGAAAGTATTGATTTTTATGTAGCCTTTTACATAAATGAGGAGATTTCAAAGTAAGGTTAAGATAAGATGAGCCTTTGAATGATATGCGATAATGAAGTCTCGTTATAAGCAAAGAAGATTTCTTAATGCTATCTTTTGTCAATCTAGTCATGCAAGTATTTGTGATTGTACAAGAAATGAAATGTGTTGAGGCGAATGTTTCCCATAAAGACTTTTCCAGCTGCTTCATTTTTAAATTTCCTCAACTTCCGAGTCTGGAATTTTTCATAATTAGAAATTTAGAATCTTGTTTTATGTTTTATTGTTTCTTTGTCTCTTGCCTCCTGTTGTTATTCAATAATTAAAAGCAAGTTTTATTATATCATATATCCTCGTCTTCTATTTTATATCTGTGAATACCTGTGGCACTTTTACAAGATGATATTTGACTAGCCCTTTTGGCTTTGTGAAATATTACTTCTAGGTACAAAGGTATTTATCTACAAATACAATGAAATGTTGGAATGATATTACCTCAGTCAGGTTTATTATATGTTACATTTTATGTAGTCTGACTTCTATTTTTGCAGTCACATCTGTAGGGCTGCCATCATTAGTCGGAACGTCGACTTGTCAGTCAAAATGCAAGTTCGACAACGAAGTCGACAAAAATTCCCGTCATGTCGACAGCAAACGATATCAATACTTACTTGAAAATATCCAAATGGCCCCAATACATTTCAATACACATTTCAACGTGTTATGTGCGCGTATTCTGCGGAAATATTGTTCACATTCATTTCATTTTCAAAAAATAAATTCACCCGGAAGTTCCCTTCATGACTTCTCTTCTCTCTTGCGAGACGTTGTACGAGATTTCGCCCGAGCAGTCGAAATAAATCCCGGTCGAAACATTGCAGGTATTTGTCCCATTTTCGTCTATAATATTCTATTAACTTGGCATTTAGTAACAATATTAGGCAATTACTTCCCGATGATTTTTTCTCCCTGGAAAGTTCGATTGTCGACAATATTTTCGACAGCAGAGTTCGACTGTCGACACTGACATTTGAGTTCGATGGCAGCCCTACACATCTGAAATGATCTTGTGTTGTTTATTGCTCAGTTATAAATCATAAATATTGAAGATATGAAATTGGTAATAAAGAATATCCCATGAAATGTATGAAAAAGAAAAACATGGAACGTGGACTTTTGTGCTTTTTGATTTCTGTGAAAAATCATCAATTATGATTTTAGTTTTACTTACACCAATAGTCTAGCTACAAGCCCTTTATGACCCCACGTCACTACAGCAACTGTGTGAGAAGGTGTGTTGTCAAGTAGAGGAGGGGGGGGGGGTTACAGAGGCTTGTAGATTGACTATTACTCCAAATCCCATAATCTGACCAATGTCATATTGTGTTAGAAAGGCCAGTCTTTCATTTTAAACTATTGCAAAGCTTGGAATTTCTCTGTGGGTGTGAATTTATCTGCTGGGCGTTAATTAAATCCTGTCCAATTGTCAGAGTCAATTATCCAGATTCGAGATTGGCACTACTTTTAATGGTGCTTATTGGCTAACCTGTTTTGATATCAATGCCTGGTGAGCTCTATTGTGAAATTACATGTTACATTGCCCCTAGCAAGTTTTCTTTGCTAAATGCACAGTCTGCTCCTACCACTTGTGGCCTGTTTTGATACTCCTCACGTTTTTCTTTCTGATTGAGTTGGCAGAAAAGCATACTGTGATGAATTCATATCCTCTCCTGGCCAGAATATTAAAAGTTATATGCTGGCGATCTGTCATTCACACTGTTCAAACTGTGGGAGAAGCTCCTTAGTGATTGTATGAACATGAACATGATAAGTAAATTAGCTTGGATGGAACCTCAAGTGATTTCAAAACTCAATTACCTTAACAAAGCCATTTTACTTACAGGAAGTGAAGGCACTGTTTTCCGGTGAAAATTGTCCAAAATTTGTAAGCTGTGAATTTGCTGGCAATAGTAATTGGTATGTGACGTTTGATAGTGATGAGGACGCACAGAGGGCTTATGGGTACTTACGAGAAGATGTACAGACGTTCTTAGGGAAACCTATCATGGTAAGAGAAGCAGTGGATTCATTTGTTATAGCTGAAGGGGTATACAAGATCTAAAGTATATGATGCTTCTTCCATTTTCCATTTCTGTAGAATGTCAAAATGCATATGGATTTCCAAAATTTTGAATAACTGGCAAACTAACTGCAGCTCTATCACCTAAAAAGCCCAAACATTTCAATTTTATTTCAGTTGTTTTCTTTGCAAGATCACAGTACTTATATTCGAACAAACAAACAATTAATATTTTTGCCTCATTTTTTTAAACCCGTGTCTTGCAAAATTCATGCTGAATTGACTTTCTTTGCTTGACAAAACTCACAAGTTGTATTCTTGTTTAGTTTAACATTTCAACTTGCACCCAAGTGAATGGATGTATCAGTTGAATCTAATGTGATTACCTATTGATTATCCCATCGAACGAAGTTCGGAGGGAACGCCTCCGTCCGTCCGTCCGTCCGTACGTACGTCCGTCTGTCCGTCCATCCGGGCAATAACTCAAATACCGTAGGCCCGATTTTGTTCATATTTTGTACACATGTACCCTATGGGGGTAGAAGTTCTGCTCGAAAGCCGATTTTCAAAATGGCCACTCATTTCAAAATGGCGGCCATTTTAGTGCCGATTTTACAGTAATTTAGGTGTAATATGTAAAACTGTAATAGCAATATGTTTTAAATGTAAAAAAATTATAAAGGACATTAATAATGCTACAAATGTAGATATTAAAGAAGCACATGGCAGCCATCTTGAAAAATGGCGGCCTTTACTCGTCATTTTACGATTTTTGCTATAACTCAAAAAATAGTGGAGCGATTTTGTTCATATTTGGTATGTGAATACTATAAGCATTGCACACTGTCTAAAAACACTTTTGGTGGAAGGCGGCCATTTTGAAAAATGGCCGCCATTTTAACGTATTTTACTATAACTCGAAAAGTAGTGGAGCGATTTTGTTCATATTTGGTATGTGAATACTATAAGTATGGCACACTGTCCTATGACACTTTTGGTAGAAGGCGGCCATTTTGAAAAAAAAATTGAAAAATGGCCGCCATTTTAACATATTTTACTATAACTCGAAAAGTAGTGGAGCGATTTTGTTCATATTTGGTACATGTATGTGAATACTATAAGCATGGCACACTGTCCTATGACACTTTTGGTAGAAGGTGGCCATTTTGAAAAAATATTTGAAAAATGGACGCCATTTTAACTTATTTTACTATAACTCGAAAAGTAGTGGAGTGATTTTGTTCATATTTGGTATGTGAATACTATAAGCATGGCACACTGTCTATTTCTAATGACACTTTTGGTAGACGGTGGCCATTTTGAAAAATGGCCGCCATTTTGAAAAATGGCCGCCATTTTGAAAAATGGCTGCCATTTTAATGTATTTTACTATAACTCGAAAAGTAGTGGAGCGATTTTGTTCATATTTGATATGTGAATACTTTAAGCATGGCACATTGTCTAATAAAACTTTTGGGAGTAGTCGGCCATTTTGAAAAATGGCCACCATTTTTATGTGTGTAATTTTACAAGTACGTGTGCGATTTTTCAAAAATTTTAGAGGTGGCTACTTAAAAGCATATTATTTCTTCTGATGACAACTTGGCTAGTGAGCAACCATTTTGAAAATGGTGGCCTTTCTGGTGTGTTGTTTTATGATATTTGCTATTCGTTTGTAAAAATGCCAGCCATTTCTGTTCGATGGGATTCGCTACGCTTTGGCGTTGCCGTTGTTCTGGTTTATATTGATATTAACAATGAAGTTATTCAGTTACGACCACATGGCTTACATATTAGACATGTATAATAAGATGCAATTATCAAAGAATAAAGGACAAGGTCAATATATTGACGAACACCCACAAGATTAATAGATATTCATTTCATTAGGGCGGTCAATGTGAAAAGTGATTAACTATGTTTTGGAATAACATCTAAATATTGAACTTGAGTGAGTTGATTTACTGAAACATTCTTAGCTTTTCTATGTATTCTTAGAATTCCTTGATCCATTGTTGTAACATGGATGATGTCATGATAAAATAACAATTGACTTAGGAATTTTTAACCAGGGGTTTCACTAGAATTTCTCACAACAGGCAAAATGTATGGAAATCATAAATTTATTTTGGAAAAGTTGAAAAGTCCCTAAAAACAACAGGCGATTTTGTAAAAACAACTGGTGAAATTCGCCTGTTGCCTGCTGCTAATGAAAACCCTGTTAACTGATAAAAGTTTCTGTAAATGTACCCCTGGTCCATAATTACTGTTAAACGTAACTGTAATGTTTCTTCATTCATTTTTAGGCACGTATAAAAGCCAAACCTCTGGTGTTACGCAATAACTTTGTGCCAAAAACTGCCAATGGAGTTGTGAAGCCAGTGCAGACTCCACCCGCTTACGAAGCAACCCAAATGTTTCCTATAGGTGTCAGCACTGCACCACAACAGGCTGCTCAGAGGTTTTCGTTCCAACAGCCACCAGTGCCCCCCAACATGCAGTATATGACCAATAATGGACAGCCACCATTTCAGTTCTACGCCAACACTATGATAGGTAAGGTCCAATCTATAGTTCCATGCAAAGAACTCTTATTAATATTAAGTGACATAACCAGGGGGTCATTAATAGAACTTTCGCAAAGTTACAAATTCGTAAGTCGTAAAGTTACGAATCGGCCGACGGCCATTAACAGAACACTTTCGTAAGTCATTCATAAGTTTTATCGTTCGTAAACGAATTTCAAATTTTGACATCATCTTATATCATTATTAAGCACAAATAAAAATATGATGTCATTTGATATCATTGCGCGCTGTGATTAAACCTGTCTCCACAATTTCAAAGATTCCCAGCTCAGGAACATATTTGCTTATCATGTAAGAATAGGTGGATATTTTAGCTTGAAACTTAGCATGCATATAAAGAACAATTTCTTTTTGCTAACCTGTATACCTTACATAAGAACTGGATGAGAAATATGCCATTCGCAAAGTTATGAAAGGGTCTGGGTGCTATTAAAGTTAGGAAGGAAAGCATATGTGACGTCATTTTTCGTAACTTGCAAATCGTTCATAACTTTACGAAAGTTCTGTTTATGCACATTTACCAAATTCGTAAAATTAACAATTTACTTGTGAATTCGTAACTTTGCGAAACTTCTGTTAATGACCCCCAGGATATTAAGATAGATATACTGTATTCTGGCCATTGAACTTATTATCCCAGTGAATGAAGTTTGGTAGGGATAAGGTGAAGCCATCTGTTGGTTCATTTGTCTGTCCATTTGTTTGTATGTTCTTTTGTCTGTCCAGCGATAACTCTACTGGAGAGATTTCAATATGGTCGCTCCATTCAAGATGGCCACATTTTTTTGTAAAAATGTTATCTTTGTTTTCACAATTTATTTTAAAAAATCTCCAATTGAATATTTTTGAAAATATAGCTGAGGCAAGCCTTGCCTCACCTGTCTCTTTATTTGCCTCAATGCCTTTCTAATATCTCATGACTCAATCCACATTTGGACAGCTTGTTGACAAACTGTTGTTTTCACTCTGGGATTTGTCAATAGTAACATACGCTGAATGTGGGTGTTTGTTTATATAAATTGTTGAATTTATTGTCAGATTGTTCAGTTGGATGTGGTAATAATGTTTATTACTCATAACATTTCTGATGTGCTGTATTAATAATAAAGCTATTAGAAAATGAATTAAATTAAATCTCAGACAGGAAGTGTTGCCAACGGGACGGGATGTTCGATGTTTTTGTCTCTCATAAATTATGAATTTAATGAAAACTGGTAAGAAAATGCTTGGTGTCAAATATGTAAATTGGTATACATGTATATTAAAATTGCAAATTATTAAAGTAAGAACACACATGGAGTAATTCCAAGTTGTCCCTAGATTGCAGTGATCTCCCCAGGATTTCTTCTTAGCAGGGGGGATTTTTTATCAAGTTTCACTGCCTGCTTTTATCGCATAGTTCATCAACAGGCTACCTGTTTTGCCGCTCCCTATGCTTGCATATTGGCTAATCTTGTTAAAATTATAATCTTATTTAACTATATTTATCTCTTCTAAAGTTAAAAACACCTGTCTACAAGAAAATAATTCAGTCAGTAGATATTGTATTCCATATACACAAGTATTACTGTTTTATCTTCAAGCATCAGTTTTTCAATGGTTGCCAAAACCAGCCTTACAATTTAAACTAGCATGGAGATTGTTCCATACACACACAGATTTTACAATATAATCTTCAAACATCACTTTCTTTTTAGGTTGGCCAACCAGTCCTACAGCAGCTTTTTTCGGAGACCCTGGCATGGTTCTGGCAGCCAATGGATTCACTCCAGGAGGTACAATCACCAAGTTCAACAACCAGGCACCTACTAGACACACCTATGTCAGAAACAGGTAAATGCCACGACGGGACTGGTCAAGAGACCATTATACAATTCATCAGTTTTGCATATGAGGGCATACCTCAAAATGATCAGGATCAAAAAACATAATTGCAACACGTCTCAACAACTCTTAACTTATAAAAGAAATAGAAATAATTATTATGCAATTTATGTCTAGCATGAGTTTGCAATCGTACAATATAGTTGAAATGTAGGACATTTTTTACAAGGACATCTCACTTTTCTTCACAATGAATATAAAGAGATTTATTTTATTTGCTGTTCCTACTTTTACTGTAATAGGATCTCCATCATTTGAACATCCAGGTATTGTAACCAGCATTGAAGCAAGTGGAATAGAATATAACAAAGCTGAAATCTCATTGATTTACAACCAATTGTTTACATGTAATAATTCATCTCTTTGTGTACTGTTTCAATGTTTACAATAAATGCTTTAATGCGCCTATTATTAAATGTTTTATTACAAGAAATCTTGAAATGTGATTTGTGGTTTCATAAAACCTTTAATACAAGGTAAATCTCATAGTTTCATAAATGCATAGTTTTTATCACACTTTGAAAACGTGCTTAAAGTTGTTGTCATTTTGTGCTGCTGGGTGTGTTAGGCGTGTTTGTCATTTATCCTCACCTTGATCTCTCATATTTAATATTTTTTGTTTTAGCAATCAAGTACCTAAACCTCACAGTCGAGTTCAGAGTAACCCAGAGAGACTTTCAGGCAGCGCAGATGCACCCCCACGCATGGAGCGCCAGCTATCAGCCAGTCAACGAACCAGTCCACGTCACAATAGCGAAAGTGGTTTGTACAACTCCCAGATGAGCAGCCGAACTCATCGAGAGTTCACCCCACAGCACCACAGCACCCAAGGTCCCACCCAGGTTGATATGCCTAAGTCAGTCTCCCCCCGCTCAGAGAATGGACACATCAAAGAATCATTACCTTCTAGGTGAGTGAGTCAAAGAATGAAGCATGGCAATGTGTAGGATGTAAAATAATTGTTTTATCAACCATAATATGTTTGTAGTAATACAGATCAGTGATCTCCATCAGCATTAAAGCAAGTGGGCGCAGCACCCACCTGAGAATTTGAAAAAAGGCTTGCACCCACCTGAAAATCCATTTGCACCCACTTGTCAATGAGAGAAATCATGAAAAATGGTCGAAATTGTGAAAATGATAATTTTGCACCCTCAAAATCCTTTGGAGATGACTGCAGATTATGCTAAAAGGGTTTTCAAGACCTTTTTATTGTTTTTTTAATATATTTATTCATGATTTCTTGTTCTCTTCTCATCATTTGGTTTAAAACATTTGAAATGTGTGAACATAACCCAGCTTAAATTTTTAATCCCAAATCAAGCCTGAAAATTTGTTAACTATGTTTTGTAGGGGTTCTAGGATGGAATCAAGGTACCATAGCAACAGGAATCGCAGGCGAGAAGACGATCGTACAAAAAATTCAGTAAGTTACTCATTCACCTGTCTCTACTCCTATATGAGAAAAAGGGGTGTGCTAAAATTGACCTCTTATTGTTGAAATCGTGAAGGAATATTGGGTGTTAATGCAGTAGAATGAGAATGATTTAGAAATAGTCTCTGATGATCTGTTTACATGTCATATTTTGTCTTGTAAGTTGACGCCAATTTATTGGAGAGAGACCCAATGCAAGATGATTTCATGAATGTCTTTCTTATTAGACTATTATGTTGTGTTTCAGCGTCTAAGTGGAACTCCCAATGGTGTTAAACATGATGTGAAACCAGAATTACCAAAAAGTTTTGAACTTGAATCCACGTCTTTCCCACCCCTGCCAGGCTCAACTGTAAGTCCACTTACCTATTGCTAAAAACTTAAACACATCAAGAGTTTATATGTTTTATATTAGTTTGAACCATACTGCATAAATGAACCTATGCACCAAATTGCAAATATAGAGCCAAGCCGTATCATGTAGTATGTAAACAATGTTTAACTCTTAAATGTTAAAAAAGTAAGTAAGGAGAGAAAAGAATGACAAGAGTTAAATTGAGAAAGTTACTTTCAACCCATCTTTTTTGTGTTTTTAATTTGATATTTCAATGCAACATTTCATTTGCTGTTTCTTTCCAGAATGCCACAACTACAGAAGAGGTGCCAGTTGAAAAAGTCGAAACCAAAAAAGTTGAAAGTAAGATGTCTGATGTTGTCAAGGGAACTGCCAAGATGCCGTCTAAACCCCCTGTGGCCCCTGGCTCCCCCAGTAAATCTTCTAGAGAAGTTGCTGCTGGGGAGAGTGACCCAATCCATGTGGATACACCAACAACAAGCTCAATATCATCTCCACCTTTATCACCTATCAGGTAGCGTTTTCAACCTTTTCAAAAGCTGTCTTGTATAATACTTGCTACACTCTATATAGGGATGGAAGATATTTAATTATCCCATCGAACGAAGTTCAGAGGGATATAGGGAAACCCTCCATCTGTTTGTTGTAAATAGCCATCACTTTTTATTATGTCACCACCAAAAGTGGTGACATATTGTTATGGTCTCCGTTTTTTTGCGACGGCGGTTGGCGTCCGGCGGTTGGTGGTTGGCGTCCGGCGGTTGGCGTCCGGCGGTTGGCGTCCGGCGGTTGGCGTCCGGCGTCTGTAACAATTTCTTACAACTTCCTATAACTTAACAAATACTGTTTAGACTGACTTCAATTTTTTTCTAAATCATCTACATGTTTCAGAAGTTCAAATCTGACTTTAGATTTGACATTTGACCTTCAATGACCTTCTCAAGGTCAAAAAGGTCTTTTTTCAACTTGCTTCACATTGACTAAATTTTTTTTCAAAATCATCTACATGTTCTCAGAAATTCAAATCTGACTTTAGATTTGACATTTGACCTTCAAATCTGACTTTAGATTTGACATTTGACCTTCAATGACCTTCTCAAGGTCAAAAAAGGTCAAAAAGGTCTGTTTTCAACTTGCTTCAAATTGACTAAATTTTTTTTTCAAAATCATCTACGTGTTCTCAGAAATTCAAATCTGACTTAAGATTTGACTTAAGATTTGACATTTGACCTTCAATGACCTTCTCAAGGTCAAAAAAGGTCAAAAAGGTCTGTTTTCAACTTGCTTCAAATTGACTAAAAAAAATTTTCAAAATCATCTACGTGTTCTCAGAAATTCAAATCTGACTTTAGATTTGACTTAAGATTTGACATTTGACCTTCAATGACCTTCTCAAAGTCAAAAAAGGTCAAAAAGGTATTTTTTCAACTTGCTTCAAATTGACTAAATTTTTTTTTCAAAATCATCTACATGTTCTCAGAAATTCAAATCTGACTTTAGATTTGACATTTGACCTTCAATGACCTTCTCAATGTCAAAAAAGGTCAAAAAGGTATTTTTTCATCTTGCTTCAAATTGACTTAATTTTTTTTCAAAATCATCTACATGTTCTCAGAAATTCAAATATGACTTTAGATTTGACATTTTACCTTCAATGACCTTCTCAAGGTCAAAAAAGGTCAAAAAGGTCTTTTTTCAACTTGCTTCAAATTGACTAATTTTTTTTTCAAAATCATCTACATGTTCTCAGAAATTCAAATCTGACTTTAGATTTGACATTTGACCTTTAATGACCTTCTCAAGGTCAAAAAAGGTCAAAAAGGTCTGTTTTCAACTTGCTTCAAATTGACTAAAAATTTTTTTTTTCAAAATCATCTACATGTTCTCAGAAATTCAAATCTGACTTTAGATTTGACTTAAGATTTGACATTTGACCTTCAATGACCTTCTCAAAGTCAAAAAAGGTCAAAAAGGTCTTTTTTCAACTTGCTTCAAATTGACTAAATTTTTTTTTCAATATCATCTACATGTTCTCAGAAATTCAAATCTGACTTTAGATTTGACATTTGACCTTCAATGACCTTCTCAATGTCAAAAAAGGTCAAAAGGGTATTTTTTCATCTTGCTTCAAATTGACTAAATTTTTTTTCAAAATCATCTACATGTTCTCAGAAATTCAAATATGACTTTAGATTTGACTTTAGATTTGACATTTGACCTTCAATGACCTTCTCAAGGTCAAAAAAGGTCAAAAAGGTCTTTTTTCAACTTGCTTCAAATTGACTAATTTTTTTTTCAAAATCATCTACATGTTCTCAGAAATTCAAATCTGACTTGAGATTTGACATTTGACCTTTAATGACCTTCTCAAGGTCAAAAAAGGTCAAAAAGGTCTGTTTTCAACTTGCTTCAAATTGACCATATTTTTTTTTCAAAATCATCTACATCTTTTCAGAAGTTCAAATTTGACTTTACAAGTTCTCAGAAATTCAAATCTGACTTAAGTTTGAACTCATAATATTGTGAGCAACTAGGTGGTGACATTTTGTCATGTTAATGCCTTGTTGTGTGTTGTTTTAAGTTTTTTTTTATTATAACTCAAAAAGTAATAAGAGAGATATTGTTCATATTTGATATGTGGATACTCATAAGCATGACACACTGTCTTATGACACTTTGGCTAGTAGGCAGCCATTTTGAAAATTTTGTTGAAATTTTATATGTGCCCACCAAGAAGCATATTACACTTTCTTATGACAATATGGCTGAAAATGGTGCCAATTTTTATGTGTTATTTTAACAGAGGATTTTGTAAAAATGACAGCCATGGCTGTTCGATTGGAGTTGCTACGCTTTAGCGCTGCTGTTATCTAGTTTTGTATGATGCTGTTGTAGTGAATTGCCATAAAGTAAGGACATCTGGATCAGGAATTTTTAAGCCTGATATATATGAGCTCTATTGGTAAAGTATTATTGAAATTTGTATTATATTATTGATATGGCAGCGCAGACCTACTTTTTGAACACCCCATAACTTAGGTTTTCTCTATTTCAGACCTGGAAAGGCCAGCAGTACTAAACCCCCAGTAGAGAAAGTAAAACCTACTGAGGATACTTCAAATTCACATAAAGAAAACAAACCGACAAAAGCTCCTAGTAAGAAAAAGGAGGACGCCACCAAGAAAAAGGAGGATGCCACCAATATACCACAGAAGGAGACTAAAGCATCCAGTTCGCATAAAGACAATGTCAACAGCAGTAAAGATAATAAACCAGCCACCATACCAGACTCAAACACAGTTAGTGAAGTTAGTTTTTAATGAATCTTTACTTAATCAGCAAAATTTCATGAGATAAGTATACTTCATAATTTAACTGGGATTGAATATCACTAAAGAAAGATTTCCTCTCATTGGCCATAAAGTTAAAATAGTATCACTTTTGAATATTAGATATATTGAGAACACAATGAATATTACAAGTTTTACAGTTAACAAATATGATTCACTTTGTTCATCATAAAAATCAGTTTATCACCCACCATGCACATCAACATAATTTATTGCCGTATTTATAATTTACTTGCACATTTTTGTAACCCAGACATAATCATTAAGCAATGCATCAGCTATAACAGTTCTCATTTGTTTCATCATTTCATCATTTTTTCAGTAGGAGATCAATAGACATACCAGACTTTGTTTATTTTATGTCATCACGAAGCCATTTATATACATAAGTCAGTGGCCTGTGAATAGACACGCTATATGCACAATAAACGTAACTAACAACTGCATATTTATCATCTCTATATTATCTATAAATCAGTTTATTGCGCAGTAACAGTTGAGACTAAGAAACAGCTGAAATATATGTCTGTACAAAATGCAAATATTGACTCTGCATTGAAATACTGGACAATGTTTATCTACTGATGCAAATAGACATGTATGCTTGTATGCAATTCCTCACTATTATTGTTACATTGAATTTCACAGCTTCATGCTTCATGTAATTCCCCACTGATATGCTTCATGTAATTCCCCACTGATATGCTTCATGTAATTCCCCACTGATACGCTTCATGTAATTCCCCACCGATACGCTTCATGTAATTCCCCAACGATACGCTTCATGTAATTCCTCACTGATACACTTCATGTAATTCCCCACCGGTACGCTTCATGTAATTCCCCACTGATAAGCTTCATGTATTTCCTGACTTACATGCTGCATATCAATCCTCATTACCTGCTTAACGTAATTCTTCATGGATATGTTTCATATAATTGACTGCTGACATACTACATGTAACATACTCTGATTGTTTTCCAGGAGGACAAACTTGGCCCGCCAAAACTGAGTTATGCCCAGATGGCGCAGAGAGCACGTGAAAGGGAGGCTGAGATTAAACCCGATGCTAAACAGACTGAAGGGGAACAGAAAGACACTAACAATAAAGACAAAGCAGTTACATTGAAGGAGCACCAGCAGCAAGGGAGTAAGACCCCTTCTACCAATCAACAGCAGGATACGAACACTAACAAGGAAAAGGATGAAATGCGAACTGTCGTTGGACGTAGAACAATGAAGGAAAATCGTGCTAATGCGGAGAGGAACTTGGATAAGAAAGGAGAGTGGCGAGTGAGACGAGACAGTAAAGAGGGGAATAACAACAGGGTGAATGTAGTGAAATAAGACTGCTGCTTCAGGCCATATACAGCAGCAGCCAGCCTATAGTTGCTCTGTTAAAGTCCCCCAACATCTAGAGCTATATAGCTGCATTGGCTAATGAACCTTTGTGCAGCATAGCCGCCCACCCTACGCTTCCAAATCCAGATGTCTCGTGTACATAGGCTCGCCACTCAGTATTACCCAGGATTCTTAGCACCAAAGAGGGAGTAGCCATATTTTATATCCAGTGACGTCATCATCACGTCCCAGTACTTTCGTTGTCATGCGAATAAACTAACAAATCATAGGTTGCCATGAGGATTAGTACAGTGCAGTATGAAATGTTGAATACTACAGTACATCTCGAGACTAACCTCATATTGGCTGGTTATTCAGAACCATGTTATGAGCGCTTAGTGTTGACACAAACTGTACTGGAAATGGTCAAAGAGATAGTGACTCGTACCAATGTCAGATTGCATTCAAATTTGGTGCTTGTATATATTTTTGTACATCAAAAGATGATGACCAGATCCATGGTTGCTACGTGGCTACTCTTGTTACTATGGAAACAAATGATGATAAACTGTGAATCTTGTCCGCTTGGTGTACCCCTACCATGGGGTAATGACACTAGGGTACTGAAATGTGTCCCATTTTATTAATCGAAATATAATTTGTGCAATTGCTTGGTCGTGCTGTATAGGAATACACACACATTGTGAATATTTAGGGAGAGATTATGAAGGAGAATGAATGAAGTAAAAACTGAAGGTGCATAGAGTAAATTTCCACTTCTGTGTGGGGCTCCATAGTCTATTCAGCTGCTTTAGTTGTCTTATATCTTTGTCAAAATAATAGAGTGAAATTTTGATCTTGGTCAGTATAATTAGAGTCCAATCATGGTGGTGTGCCATTTGTGACATTTTTGTTGATATGAAAACAATAATTTTGATAACTCTACATCTACAAATACTTCAGTGATGTTAATAGAGAATGATCCTTATTTTACAAAGCATGAAGTTTGTCAGAAATGAAGCAATCATGTGTGATGACACATTGCATTTACATGTATTTAAAATCAGGAAATATCAATTTTGTAATTTATAAATTGAAATTGTGATAGGATCAATTAAGATCTAATGAAATAAATACCTCAAAGGATAATGTATGCTACTAATACAAATTAATTAAATTTAGATAATGGATTGATTGACAATTTAATTTATATTCTTATTTAGGCGTATCATCACTATTTGGAGCCCTAATGTAGATTATTCACATGTTAATTTTGAATACTGTGTTTGTACTAATTTTTTGTTGATGATTCCTCATTATGAAGAAATCCAGTTTCTTGCATGCTTACCATGAAATAAAACACCCTTCATACTTCAGTATGCAAACATGGAAGGTATGTTTTAGAGGCTAAAGGTAGATTTTGATGTAGGAGGGGGGGGGGGGGGGGTGACTGAATAACTTTTCTGAAATAAACAGAAACTTTGGAAAATAATTCAGCTTATGATTTCCAACATTTTAGAAATGTTTCTATCATTAGGCAACATGTTAAATTAAATGTTGATTCCTTATTTTGTGCTTTTCTCTAATATACAGGTATATAATGTAAATGTACTCTCTAATGCTAACATAATAAGCCTTCTGAATTTTAATTTCTGTCCAGGTTTCAGGTGATGAATCAAAATCAATGTTAAATAATGTAAATAAGAGCAGAAGTAAGGCTGTATCAGGTTGTGCCAATATAATGAATAAAAAATGTGTCTTAGTAACCACCATGTTAATCCCCTCAGTGAGAAATATGTTTTCTTCGAATGAAATGACCAACTATATTTTTTGGAAAATTTTCATATTTGCAGTATAAATGGTGTTTTATTGAACTGGTATCACTAATATACAGTGTTTTGGTTTACATTAGTTATGTTAGGATTTAGGACAAGTTTGGTGTCTGTAGATGGTTAATTTATGACTGATTATGAACTGGAATGACTAATTGCTAGAAGTAAAGAGAATGCATGTAATTTGAATTTAAATTGTACTTAAGTACTTGTAATCACAAAAGTCCAATCCAATGGATGACCGCCAAAGGCTGTGTGTGTAAAAACAATCCGAGATAAAGAAGTATCGCAATGTAAATGTCAGGTCTGGCATTGGAAGCAAATGCTAATGCCTGGAGGCAAAGTAAGCCAAAGATATACTGACATAATCTCCAAGCAGAGTTGAAAATGCCTGGCACCACTACTTCCCCATAATGTGTTCAGAAGGGAATGAGTCCCGGACCCTGTGGTGTACATAAATTTTTAAATAAAGTAAGGGAAGGGTTATTAGTAAATGTTAAATTAAGACATTAATAAAATAATTTAAGTTAAATATGTTGTATTCGCTTCATTTTTGCACAATGCTAGTATTTAGTGCATTATTTTATCACTGTATTTTGCTGGCTGTTTTTCTTTCGTTATTAGGCACTATTGTTCAGTACTGAAAGGGAGTAAGGGTACATGTTGGAACAGCGCCTATATATGAAGCAAACATACTCCTGACGCAAAATCAAAACATTGTATGGCAATCCTCTGATCAACTTTCAATCCCTTGGTTCATAAACATATCATTGTGATAATAATTTCGGAACAAGACAATAAAGATCAGGGGGATTCAGCAAAGGTGTTTTGATTCTAGGTCAAAAATGCTTATATTGTGAAACAAAGAGATTGTGTGAAGTCCGATCAAAAATCTAAGAAAAAAAGACAAAAAGTAGAATCTAAGTATTGAATTGAGTCACAGGTTGCAAAGTCTGTAAATGTGACCCATTTTGGTATTGTGTTATATGTACATGTATGTTGGAACTTGCTGCTTCTTTGTACAGATGACATGTACACCATTACTGTACAAGTCATTCACAATTACATATACAGAGTACAGCACAGTATGGTACAGTACAGCAGGGTTTTACCACATTCTGTAGATCAGCACCTCCAATTTTGATGTCAACATTTCTCAAATGTTACACTAGAAAATTTTAAAATTCAATGTTGCACCAACATGGCCAAATATGGTACATTACATTACATTACAGGACAATACAGTTCTTGTATTTTTCTAATATGGAGAAACTAGCTCATTCATTTTGCTAGATTTGTGTAGGTTTTATTCTGGATTAGGATTAGTAACCTTTGGTACATCTTTTGAAAATTACAACTACTAATTTATAATGTTCAAAACATGTATTTTTCATTGTTACCTGTACTGTTATGAATTGTACCTGCACTGTCCTGTAGTGTACTGTGCGGTACTGTACTGTACTGTACTGTACTGTACTGTACTGTACCGTATCATACTGTACTGTACTGTATTGTACTTGACTGCACTCGAATTTCATAAAGTATACTGCACAGTGGTGTGCCTTCGTTTGGATCTAGTCCGGTCTAGGAGATCTATTAATGTTATCATATATTTTCCTACAAAATTCACTTCAAGAATTATTTAATATTTCATAGTTCTTTTTCTTTTTAAAATTCCACAGTGTTGCCATTGATTGCCATGTTAATCTAACAAAACATTTATTGGACAATTATGTGCACGATTTTGTTAAATTGTCTGATCTTACGAAATAATGATAAATGTGCAAATTATCACCAGGGTTTTCTGGACAATGTCCCCCAAACTGTAAAACTACCAAATACGACGCTTATATTGTTGATGTTTTATTGCGGGGACATTTGTGAGACTAATGTAAGTTATCTGTTCATTCAAGCAGTAATTAAAAAAATTGTTGACAATATATATTTCTGTATTAATAATCGAGAGCCATGATCGTGGGATTTGTTGCTTGCGTTGCCTACAGACCATTGACTCGCCCATAATGAATAACATATGGGAACTTGAAGCAATCTTAGTGAAGTGATAGTCCTTGATTGGTTATTATTAACTTCCTTATGTGTATATTAGAAATAATTGGTACTCATGAGTGAGTTATTAATCTCAAAATTGGACAGAATATCATTGTGAATCTGCTAGGACAAGAATAGATGCTATATTTGTTCAAATACAGAAAAAGAGGATATATGTTTACATTGTGATTTTGACAAGTTTCCGATATAAACTGTATATTTATTGCCTAATATCTCATATCAAAACCATTGTTGCCAAGTGATAATGGCAATTCCATTGTTTGACTGGGGAAACCCTATTGTTTAGGGGAAACCCTTTGTTGTTATAGGGAATTCCCTCGCCTATTGTTGTCCTGTGGGGAAGGTAGATGTTGTGAGATTATATAACACTTGTTGTTGTTGTACAACATTATTAACACCTATAGTGTATATATATCTATAGCTGTCTAATACGCATACATAGCTGCATAACAGCGTGTATCTATATGGGGATTCACATGTTACAGGTGTGTCATGAAAAAATTGTTATTCTATTAAATGACAAGTTCCTCAGTGTGATACATGGTTGCAAAGAGCAATCTGGAGTTTTAGTCTCATTGGGCTCTAATAGATGTCAGCACTTTATCCCACGATCAAAGTTCATAGTTCTGTTATGAGATGCATATATATGGCCATGATTAAAAAAAGTATCATTTTTGTGTGACTACCCGAGTCATGTGGAATAATTTCATGTTTTCTCCGATGATGTGTGATGATTTGCAACTTTTCAGTGAATTTCTCCAAGCATGTTTACATTCAATATGTTTAAATCACAATCACACAAGGTATAAATTGAAATGTGAAATTGTTGCACATGGTTTGAAGAACTAACCTATTTGTGGCCTTATATACTGACGAGTTCACAAGGCACCAACATGGATGGGTGTTTCAAGAATGGAATAATATAATGAAAATATTATGGTCAGTGTAAAATAATTGATAACAGATAAAAATAATCCAGTTTCTTTTCCCCTGTAGTTATAGTACAAACTGTTAAACCTAGATAATTGAACATAATAGAGTACAAGTTTTTTTTTACATCCATGTTGGCGTCTCTTGAAATGTTTGCTGCCTGTTTGTACAGAATATAATATAATCGTAGTCCTTGTGTAGAAAATTGGACAAGGGCTGAATTAAATAAATTGTTTTGATTGATTGGTGTAACATATATGCACTAATCATTGTTTATTTCTTATACTTAAGAGTATAAGAAAGATAATACAACTTTGGTCAAATGGAATCGGAAAACTGTCTTGTGTTTTGTTTTATTATCCACCTAGGGTAGGGAAGGGAAGAAGTGCTAGGTTTCATGAAACTGTCATACCTTCTGTATGAGGGGTCAGGATGTGATTGGGCACCCCTGTAGTTTTTAGATTTTGTCCACTTTTGGAAAATACCACATATCATTTATAATTCATTATATTCTGACATATGGAAATATGCTGTTTCACTTGTATCCACACTAACGTCCAAAATATGCTGATTAAAGGAACATTCCTTGCCAGACTATTTCTCTCCTGATATGGTAGCTACAATCATATATATACTTTACATGTTTAGCAAAACACAGGAAAATGTTTTCATATGGTCAATTAGAGCTGTCAAGTATTAACCGGTTAACCGGTTAACCGCCGATAATGCCTTGACCGGTCTGTGTTTCTATGGGCGGTTAGTTGACCGTGTATAATTCTGTTATTTCCCGCACTTATTTTGCATGCTAATCCGTTTGGTTTTATGGTGTCAGTTTCCTGTGAGCTACTCATACATGTGATAGGTCCGATAATTCCTTACAAACATCCAATCAGCAACTTTAATCCCTGCCACATTGCTTTCCCGCGCTTACTTACATAGAATAGAGTAAAGCTTGACGAACGTAAAAAATAAACGCCGATATATCATTTTTCCAATTTTTTTCAACTTTCAAGATCGAAGATGGAGATTTCATTTGAAATTATCAGTTCAAATTTCCCGCCGGTTAACCGACTTTAACCGGTAAAAAACCCCGGTTAACCGGTTAATGCTCAAGCGGTTAATTGACACCACTATGGTCAATATTGATCATTTAAAAATGTAGTACTCATTCCCAGTAAGCTGCCATCTTTTCAGATTTCTTTCAGGAAGTGATGTCATCGACTCTCACCTGTTATAACATTGTCTATTACATTATATGAAAGAAGTACAAAATCACTTCTAAACAAGAAGCCCTTATCTTCTGTGTAAAAATATTTTCAGGAGTTGTCAACTTAGTAAAGAAGAGATCATCAAAAGGATTTTAATCATAGACCAAATTGAAAAAATATTCAGCTGGTTTAGTAATTCTAATAGCTCCTCACCTAATGTTATATGCAAAATTGAGAGTCGATGACATCACTTCCTGAGTGAAATTTTAAAAGATGGCAGCCTACTGGAATTGAGCACTACATTTTTAAGTGATCAATATTGACCATTTCAAAACATTTTTCTGTTTTTTGATAAACTTGCAAAGTATGTATATGGTTATAGCTACCATATTAGGAGAGAGATGGTCTGGCAAGGAATACCCCTTTAACTTACACATAGATGTTTCCTTTGGGCTTACACATTTACCCTGCCAAATAGCATACTCATGTGAACATCGGCCTATTAAGTTATTTTATGTAACAAAAAATGAAAACTATTTTCTTGATTCAGATGAACTAACTGGTTACAAGGTTGATGCAGCTATGCAGGAGTTAGGTCTTGAGGTCTAAGACCATTATCCTTACTCTTCTGATCATGCAATATCTAATGTTCACTTATATAATGAACAGAATGTTAATCAGCGTGATAAGACCTTTATAGATGAGAATGACCTTCTCCAAATTGTCCAATTGACCCCGTGTGACATGTCCTCAAATGGGTTTACTGCGTTTCAGTCAAGAATCCAGAGTGCCACTCTTGTACTCAAAGTCTGTAACTTTCTGCGTGGAATGTTTCCCCGGATATTGTGATTTCATGTTACCATAGCAACCACTCTACCCAGATTTCTTAATTTTTGTCAAAACTTTGCCATTTTCGTTATAATACATGAAAGTACATTATGTAAAATGTTGAAGACGATTGGGGCATATTTAACGAAATCCAACACCAGTCCTGTTACTTTTGAAACACCCTATAATGACCATATTTTATCAGAATCTAAGAATTTAAAATAATTTATAACCAATTAAATATTTCTGATCATTGATATTAGCTTTTTGTGCAGTTATTTTTGATTTGCAGATGAGGACCTAGGACTAAAAATTGGGATCACATCGATCTTGGAAGCCATTTATTTTTTCATTTGATGGTCTTACTTGCAGATATGGAGCATTAATAAAACCAGATGCCATCTTTATATAAAACAAAATAAAAACAAAATATTTATTTCGTTTTGATTTTATTAAAATATAAGATTCCAGACATTAACACACAAAATATGACTAAAATGGGCTCATGAAAATCACCCCAATATGAGGAATTTCCTTATATGCTGGGAGTCAGACTCATCACATTACATGATTTGATATGTGAATACTCGTAAGGATTGCATACTGTCTTATGACATTTTAAAAAATGGCCACCATTTACATGAATGTGTGTGCGATTTTTAAAAATTTTATATGTGGCTACTTAAAAGCATACTTCTTCTGATGACAACTTGGCTAGTGTGCAACCATTTTAAAAATGGTGGACTTTCTTATGTGTGTTATTTTATGATATTTGCTATATATTTCGTATGTAAAAATGCCAGCCATTTCTGTTCTGTCATTAATTTACTTTACATTAAATTATACAATGTAAATTGGAAGACATTTCTAATTATCCCTCCACTGGCTTGACAATATATAAACCTTCTTACTCCTTGAGAAAGAATGGTGAAAACAAACATCATCTAAAAGCCACCCAATTATTTTACATGTATACAACATTATTTTTCTCTATACATGTACACATGCACAATATTATTTTTCTCATATGTTTCCATTAATGCCTGGGTCACATTTGCTCATTGGCCGCTGCCTGGCCGATTGAGTATTTTGTTCAAAATTGTATTTAGTTCAAGCCAGTCGATGAATTGGAGCAAATGTGACCCAGGCATAAGCTTGAATCCAATATACTTAAATAAATTAATACTGGGTATAACTGTCAGTTATACCCAGTGAGCTTAACTTACAAGTTTAAAAACCATCACCAAATAAGAATTTTCACTGAGATTATGTACAAGGGGTGATCAATAAATAGGCCCCCAGGTACAACTTTGCATGCTAAATGGGGTACAACACACAAATGGGATAAAACATACAAATAGGGTATAACATACAAGTTGTGTGCTCTACTTTTAACCTGGTATTTTGTAGAACATAAATTCTGTTAAAATTTTAATGATTTTGTGTTCATAAAATCGCAATGGGAAATAGATCCAGTCTGAGAACTTATTGATCAACCCATGCACAATATATTTATTTGCAATTTTTTAGTACTAAAATAGCACTCAATTAGTACTAAATTATTACTTAAAATATTGTTACTAAAATGGTACTGAAATAAACCCTTATTTTTCACATAATTAGTACTAAAATAGCACTCAAGTAGTAATAAATTAGCACTCTGGCAAAAGTGCACTCATGTCACGAGTGCTAATTTAGTACTAATTTGGTACTCGGCATATCTCCCTGTGTATTAGTATTGCCTCCTATTGGCAAAGTCTACAAACATGATTTGACATGCCAGAAAACTGGTATCTGAGTAATTAGGAATTATATTTCTTCTGAAAAAGGCATCTAAAGCAGAGCTCATGGCAGCCATATTGAAGTGAGCGGCCATATTGGGAAATTTCTTCTCGGAAAGAAGTCCTCTGGCGATATGAATTTGGCTTTAAAATCTTGACCAAATTCGATAACCAACTATCAAAAACTACATTTTTCATGAAAAATAGTGGCCAGAGTGATCTGAAAAGTTCTTAAGCAGAGGTTCCATGTTCCTGAGGCATCAAAATCTAAACCAAATGCATCAGCTGGTATTTGAGTTATCAAAGGCTACATATTCACTACAAATGGCAGCCATTTTAAACTGAGTGGCAATATTGGCAATTCATTCTTCAGCAGATGTGCAATGCCCATAAAGCTTCAATCATTAAATTTTGAGCCCAATCTGTCAACCAGTATTTGAGTTATCGCATGGACAGATGAATGAACGAATGGACAGACAGATGGATGGTGGCCATTGGTGGGTAGCTTTTCCAAACTATGTTCAGTGGGGTAGTGGTATTAAGCCTTCTGTGAAGTACACAATGCCTTCATTGAAAAATTGAGACAGCTTTGGCAATGTTTTACTTATGTTTACAGCAAGCACAGTTAGTTCCACAGTACGTACTGTAGTTATTTATCTTCTCTTGTTCCCATAATAACCTGAAATCAGAAACAAATACAGTGAATGTACAGGGGACTGTTTGTTACCAAATGTTTTGAGGGCAGTGTAAATAATAAATATATATAAAATAGAATATACATGATTGGTACATAGTACCCCGGACAGGTAAGAAATTATGCAACATTCATTTTTAACATTGCATTATTGAGAAATGTGGTTCACAAACTATCAATTATTTGCTTATGATTAAATGGTCACAAAAAAGTCTAAAAAAATTCTACAAATGCATTGCCTCTGGTTGTTACAATACATATTCAAGATATACATCAATGTCCCAACAATGTGTAACTGGAGAATTGAATAACTAAGGAGAATTGAATAACTAATACTGTAGCATATATTTGTGTTTGATGTCTAACAATGAAGCATGCAGCTGTGTGTGACATCTGTCAATGTGGCATACAGCTGTATACGACATCTGTCAATGTGGCATACACAGTGTGTGATGTCTGTCAATGTGGCATACACTGTGTGTGATGTCTAACAATGTGGCATACACTGTGTGTGATATCTGTCAATGTGGCATACACTGTGTGTGATGTCTGTCAATGTGGCATACACTGTGTGTAATGTCTGTCAATGTGGCATACACTGTGTGTGATGTCTGTCAATGTGGCATATACTGTGTGTGATGTCTGTCAATGTGGCATACACTGTGTGTGATGTTTGTCAATGTGGTATACACTGTGTGTGATGTCTGCCAATGTGGCATACACTGTGTGTGATGTCTGTCAATGTGGCATACACTGTGTGTGATGTCTGTCAATGTGACATACAGTTGTGTGTGATGTCTGTCAATGTGGCATACACTGTGTGTGATGTCTGTCAATGTGGTATACACTGTGTGTGATGTCTGTCAATGTGGCATACAGCTGTGTGTGATGTCTGTCAATGTGGCATACGGCTGTGTGTGATGTCTGCCAATGTGGTATACAACTAAAAGGAATAGACTTAATGATGAAAAAGTAGTAATTTTATGCTGCTGTTATGGTGCTGTTCATAAATATGTAATACCTACCTAGTGCCATATATAAGCAGGAAAACAGCAATAAATATGCCTATTACAGAGTCCAGATACCAGACACGACTGTTTTCTTCATACGTCACAGAAGTCACAAAAATTGCAAATGCTGATAAAGCACCTGCTAGAGAGTTAAATGCTGCAAGAGACAATGTGACAATTTCAAAAATTCAGTTCTGTTAATCATCATGACCCCAAGTCTCTGTGCAGAGCCAATCATATTCATTTACATTTGCCATAATCCAGTGTGATTACTCTCAGATATCTTAGATAATATATAGGGCAGGGGAGCAAACACAGAAGTTTGGACACTACATTTTTGATGCTGATCTAATTGATCTGATTATTAACTTTTATGGCCTTGAATTGGGGGGCACATAAATGAATCCCAAAAATAAGGCTTAATGCAAAACTATATATCCAGTCCCAGTACTGGAGTATTTCTCTATATCACAACATATGTCTGTAAATCATTCATATGAATGTCTGTCATAGTCATTAAAATACAAACCAGCATTTCCATTTGTAATATATTTGTGGTTGTTTTTTTAGCTCTGTAGTGTTATCAAAGTTAAATGTGAAAGTGAGTAATTACATAATTTAAGTAACATCCTGTGTGGTAAATATTCTAATAGCAATGTGTTTGTCATGGGAGCGGGAAGGCCAATATTTGAACTTGTTACAAATGATAACATGAAAGACAACATAACATTTTGCATAAATGGTAAATATATATACACTGTAGTGTATAAAAACTCTGATATCTTATCACTAGATTATTATTTGGAATTTATGGTTATTTAGCATCTTCTTTGACATTTTCAAAACCTGAAAATAGTGTTTCACCTTGGAGGTGTTCCATTTGCACAGGTCCATGTTATATTTAGTGAATGGGTAATCACACTTTGAAAAGTGTTCCATGTATGGAGGTCTTCCACTTTAAGACATGTTACATTGTTTTTTAGGATGATTGTCAAGGGATTTTACATTCTTGCTTACCATCAGTTGTAAGCGCTTTGCTCTCTAGTTTAATCCCCAGGATGAACTTAACTATTGCAAGAATACTGCAGAGAATCCCATTTATCAGGGCCAGCTGATATACTGATGGATTCTGAAGCAAAGAAAAAATCAAAATATAGTTTTTATCAACCTGTTTGTTGGTGACCATTCATATCAAAAGATATTAATATTATATTTTAAAATCATCAAGTTATATTGATATACTGTACATGATGTCCTTAAAGTCTCTTACACTTTTCACAGACATTGTATTGTAATTGAAGAGATTTACGGACACCCTGTATATTGATGTGTATTAGCATAACAATACATATGCACATGGTGTTGATCATAGAAGTGCTCCATCATAAATGTCACAGCCTGCCATTTGTTACAGATGCCAAACACCAACCTCCACAAAAAAGTTGGAGACTATAACGATATTGTGATGGTGACATGATAAACCAGAGGTTACTAAGTGTTTATTGCAAATCAAAATATGTGCCTTACCTTACTTGGAACAGAAATATTGGCCAATGAAATAACAGACTTTGTAGTAATGGTAAATGAACTGACTATAAAGAGGACTCCTAGGACAATGCAAGCTCTGGAAAAGAAACAGGAATAGTAAAATATTTCCTTTTGTTATACATGTTAACTGAATACTCAATATACTAGAAAGAAAAGATGTTTGCGTGAAGTACTTCAAGGTGTTTGACTGAGTGGTCTGCAACTCGTACAAAAGGCTGTGGTGTGTACTTGTATGTCTATGTATAAGTGCACATAAAAGAACACAGGACTCCTTCAAGGAGGGGTTTCTGGGTCTATCTTCCAGGTTAATTACGTACATTGCTATCATAAGAACATATTCCATAACTTCAACAAGTCTCACAATATTCAACAACAATATACTGGTATGGTTGTATTGAGGGTAAGACCAAATTAAGTCATATTTTGCATGGCCTAGGGCCTAGGCCTCATATTTGCATACACCAAGTTCGACAATTCACTTACATAAATTCTCTCTTTGGAGAGTAAAGGGCCTTTTCGGCTCCACCATAATATCTCCACAACACGACTGCTGATGACATCACATCTAATAATGCTGTCAACTAAAACAATAATGACAACATAGCAAATAAATAAAAACACCAATCACAATGTATGTTGCACGATCACAAGATCACAATCAAAAATCGCTAATACAATATCATTATACAGTAGAATCACAAACTATGATTGACTACATAGTATATACATATATAATACAATCATCAATAATTTCATATTGAAAGATCACAAGATCAAAATAAAAAATCGCTAATGCAATATCTTTATACTGTAGAATTATGAACTATAAACGACTACATATATATAATACAATCATCAATAAATTATATGATAGCAATAACATTTGATGAGATGATAGCTACTTTGATATAAATGATATGCATGAATGAACAAAGAAACTAACTGTAAGGTTCATGCTTACAGCAAACATATACAAGGCATTAACATGCAAAATGTCAGCACCTGCCATTTGTTACAGATGCCAACCGCCAAACACCAACTGCTGAACACCAACAACTAAACATCGTCCACAAAAAAGTTAGAAACAATAAGAATATGTCACCACTTCCTGGTGGTGACATAATAGAGGTGGTGACATAATAATGGCAGATGTATTACACAATTTTGAACACATATAAGTGAATTGAATTAACTTGTTCGACCCTTGTTGTTTCAATATACTCTCATATCATTTTTTCAGAACTGTTTAATAAAATTGTAAAGGGTAATTTTTATCGTTGCATAATAAATACATTAATCCATCCTTGTGAAGTCAGTCATCAATATGATGACAATATTTGAGCAATTTTGATTGAAATTTTACGAAAAGTGTTCAGATTAGACGGGTGAATCTTTTTTTCAAATATGACTGTTCAAATTGGGAGGTGCTCACATTTCAAGTTTTTTTTAACATGGGAGTCAATGGGAAGAAAAATGGGACCGAAAAAAGGGTTTACGAAAAACACCGACCACCGACCAGTCACTCTCCACAGTTGGGTGCATGTGGTCGGTGGTCGGCTGACGGTGTTTTACATAAAGATGAAAAAATGCAAAATTAGAAGTAAAACTAAAACTGGGAATCCAATGACTATAGTACCTTTACTAGGTCGTAATTTAAAAACGTATAATTAATCATTTCAAATCACGATGAAAACGTTACATCGTCGTGGTGTGTAATGTCATATTTTTAAGTGATGTTTCAGTTGTTAGAAGACCAATTTCATCCTGGTTAGTCACTTTGGAAAAAACGCACGTAACATTGCATTAAGTTCATTCATATGAAACGCAATAACAAAAACACACAAACATCGTCGATGTTGACGTCGTAACGTTATGTTTGATTTCTCAGTTGTTAAATGTCAACTGGTAAAAACTACATTTGATATGACAAAAAAGCTTTCTAATGTTGTACTGAAATGGTAAGTCACTTTTAATCCCGATAAGAGAACGCATGTAACATTATATCGTGTTCAGTATTCAGTAGGCTATGACGATAACAAATCATTTTTGTTTCGAAATTGTTAAATTTCATAAAAAGACACGATAGGTTGGTTAATGATAGCTTAGGACCTTAGGCAAGACAATTAATCGAGAGGAGACGGTCATGCCCAATTTGTTTGCTTGCCATTCGTTGCAATTGGTACAAAATCGGTAAAACGTTGCCTAGTCCAACGATTGACATTTAAAATCAAATTATTAATATTTTAAGGCTACAAATATGTTCATATGTTGGTCTTTTACATGATATGGTTGCAGGCCTGTCAACTGTCCCGCAATTTACGTATTTGTCACGCATTTGCTGAAGAATTTGAAGTCACGCCAGTTATTTTTGCGTGACAGAAAATGTCACGCAAATACGCATTTTACCTGGTAATTGTCAAGCAAAAATATTTCTGTAGAAAATTTTCTAAAAAAGATCGTCTACACAGCAAAAATACGGACGGGAAAAAACGTACGCATTTCGTTCGGACTTTTCACGCGAATTACGGATATGTCACGCATTCCGTTCGAAATTTTCCGGTCGGTGGTCGGTGGGGTCGGTCTTTTTCGTAAACCCCCGAAAAAAGGAGGTGTTTGGATTAGACAGGTGTTCAGATATACAGGTTCTACTGTACTCTAATGTAGAGTAAAACATGTTAAGTGCAACACCTCTGTAAGTAGAACAAAAGATCGTTCTTGCCACCTTTTCATGGCGTAAAGCAGCAAATTTCAAATTTCCTGAAAATTTAATGACGAAAGACGAGGCCAAGCAAGCGGTGGGTTTTGGCGGGTCCTCCCTCCAAGAAATTTTGGAAAAATGAGATTTGATTGAGTGCTTTTTCGAGTAATGTAGACCCCAAATACACTTTCAAATTTGGAGGAAAAAGTGTTTTCATAGGAAAATTACAACACTAATTTTGAAACCCTTGCTTGACCCCATTCTCCCCCCTAGAAACCAATCCAGATTTGTATTGAACTCAATGGGGTCAGATTTTGGTCAATTTTTTCCAGAAATTACCTGAAATTCCTGAAGACTTTAGGCCATGCCTTTTGATACACTAGAAAAACTGATATATTGGCTAAATTGATGTCATTGGTTGTAGGTTGAAATCTGACCACGCAAAAACAAGATGAACTTATTACTAATTCAAAAAAATTCAACCTATGACATAATCAAGCTAGCCAATATATCAACGTTTCTCTGATATATAAAAAGGTGGCAGGATTTATCGTAAAGATCTATTCCATATTAAGTAAACCACTTTTCAGTCCCATGACCAATTGACTTATTTTAATGAACTTGTAAGAGTGGATCTCAAAAGATCCACTATTAATTTTAAGTACCACAAGTGTTCCACTCACACAGGTTTTACTGAATTATTACTGAGCCTGAATAAGCTTACAAACTGTCCATGTATTAATGATTAAATACTGCTTACATACTGTGCATAAATGATTGATGATGAGATTAACATGTTTTCCACAAAATGGCTGGAGATAGTTCTAATAATTTATGATTGGTATAATTGTTCATCTCAAATATCCATAAAAATGGCCAAGACAAGGCCACAAGTATGGCCGGCCAAGAAGGTTAGTCCATGATTAACACCTAGGAGGAGGGTAGGAGAATTTGATAAGGGGATTTCAAGAACATATACCTAAACATTACAATCAAAAGTTACTCAGGTCCAATTTAATAGGCGTTATTCAACAATGGACACCACATGTGGCTAGGGACCACATGAAAAAGGTTTATTCATGATAATATGTCTGTCTGTGTCTACTTACTGCAAAGCCAAATGAAGCAGAACTGTTTTCTTGGAAACCAATAACTACAACAAAAAACAAAGAAATATAAAATGTCAATTATAACAAAAGATATTCAAAACATTTATATAAATCTTACACATTGTATTGATTTGATGCAGATGCCAGATAAGATAATGGACTGAGGTTTGCAACTAATGTAAGTTCACCAGGAAAAATAATTTTATACAAACCAATATCCGTTCAAAAATACCAAAGTAATATATTTTATTGTTAATAACTCATAAACTCATGCAGGAAAATATAACAGTGGTTATAACAGAAATGTAAAACATATTAACCACTACAATTACAGTATTGTACGTATATTACACCAATATTGGAACATCATTTGTATAGTAATTGTCTGAAACAGAATAAGTGAGCAAATTGTGCATTGAAATAATGTGATTGTAAATGTCTATGGCTTGTAAAAGAGTTGATATATAAGTCTCATAGATTCAAACAATTTCACCCTGGTATGAAGTAGTTAAAAAACTTTCTCACTTCTAATTTACGACTTAAGGAAGGAACTAAATTTCCCAATAATAACAAGGTCAAAAATAATAGGGCTGTTGAAGGGAGACACAAATCTGAAACTCCCAGTTATCATCCTTCAATTGTCTCTTACCTAAGGTAGCCACACCAAGGGCAAGTGTAACAAAGATGGACAAGAATGATGTGGCAATGGCTGCAATCCTCAGCTTAACAGCGACATTCAATGACACTCTGTGCTTCGTCTCGACTAGGTTGTCTGGAAATAATGTTTTTTTATGAATGTCAGGCTAGAACAGTGATCTCCCAGAATGATTTTCTCAACTGGTGCTTCATCCTGATTTTACCAGTTTTGCTCATTGATGGCAATGAGCAGCATTTAAACAGGGTGTCATTTTTGAATTTTCAGCAGGATGTGCACCAGCACCTGGTTGCTTTAATGCTGAGGAGACCACTGATTTACATTTAAGGTAATTTTGTGACCTACTTTTTAAAAGTACAAAAATAAAGATCACGCATGATTTTTCTAGAATATCTAGGGGGGGGGGGGGGCACTCTAGGGTAGGCCCAGGAAATGGGCATTAAGGCCTTATTTTTTAATTGTATGCCCCTCCCTTGTTGATTCCCAGATCCTCCCCTGATCTAGGTATATTTAGAATTTATTAAGGCACGGCCACTGTGTTATCAGGGCATGGCCAGACTACAATTATACAAACTACATTTATACAGTTACATATATACAGTCACATTAATCTACAAAGATATTGTGTTGTAATGGTTGCGATGTTATAGATTTTTTTTCTTAAAGCACATTTCAATGAAATGCAGGACTTTCTCCATATTTGATTTGTATGACATAATGTATAGGAAATTGTTTTCCTAAGTCATGTTAGAAAAGTCCTTATTTGACGTTTGAATTTTATCTAATAAAATAGAACAATGTAAACATGGTAAAGTCAATTACAAAAGTGTCATTCTACCAATTGTTTAGTCAAATAAAAGCTGTAATGTTTGTAATTAACTGACTTACCTGTATCCGATCCTTCCTTGGAGCTTATTGTGTTGTATTGTTTCATTGGAACTAAATCCTTGGAATTGTCACTCAATGGCATATTGCCATTTTCTTCCATTTCTTTAGACATGAAGATATTCTGTTAATTTCCACTACTACATACCGGTATGATCATAATGTCTCCTTCACTGTATTCTTATTGATGAAGTTGTGATGAGAGGAGTATATGCATATGTAAATGCATACCTGTAAGCAATATGCTAAAAAATGAAGTAAAATAAATATACAAATATGTGCCAAGCATAAATATAAAGTACAATAAAGAATTTGGCAGAAATGAAAAATGATGTCAAATGTTGCCAAAATGGTAATACAGTAAATATAACATTGCCAATATGAGCCTATATATCTCCCTACTTTTCCTAACCTAATACTGTTATTTACAATGTTTTTCCTATTAAAACATGAATGAATGAACTAGACTTACCATTTATCAAAATCCACCTCTACTTTTGACTCTTGACTACATCAGAGGTGAAATTATACGAATATTTGGTTCTTGTCCATAGGGTATATGATTAAATATTATTATACAGTTATATATAGTTATAGTTGTAACGGTGAACTTGTCTTCACTTAAATCAGTTTTACTGTCCGATATTTTTCTGCGCTCTGAATGCCCTTCAACTGCTGGGTAGTCGACTGAAACACATAGGTTATTAATCTGAAAGATACAAATGCAATATACGTGGTAAAAAAAAATCATGTTTATTGCATACTTCCATGATAGATGTAGTACCATGATCATTATGCATTCTTTCATTCAACTTTTTTATTTCGATTATAAAAATACATTCAAGAATACATACCAAGTCTGAATACTTTAGCTACAGCAATTCATTACATTACATACATATTCAATATGAAATCTAAGTTTGAATGGTTTCCACTTCTGAGTCAACAAATGACATTTTGTGCTACTATTGTTACTACACTCATGCTTATCACTTTATAATAGCATACTGATAATAAAGTGTGGGAGAATTTCCATATGGGGGTAATTGAGAGACGGAAGATGGTAAGCCCATTTTTAGAGAGAGTAAAACCTGTCAAGTTAAACACTCCTATGAGTGGAACACTCCTTAAAAGTGGAACACTCCTATGAGTGAAACACTCCTATAAGTGGAACACTCCTGTGAGTGAAACACTCCTATAAGTGGAACACTCCTGTGAGTGAAACACTCCTATAAGTGGAGCACTCCTGAGTGGACCACTCCTTAAAAGTGGAACACTCCTATGAGTGAAACACTCCTATAAGTGGAACACTCCTATGAGTGGAACACTCCTTAAAAGTGGAACACTCCTATGAGTGAAACACTCCTATAAGTGGAACACTCCTGAGTGGACCACTCCTATAAGTAGAACACTCCTATAAGTAGAACATCCCAATGGGTGAAAGACCCATATATATGGAACACCTCTAAAAGTTGATCTCTCTTATAACAGCCCCATGGTACTAACAAATTAATCTTTATTTTGGAGGAACATGATGAAGAGCCTAATTATTTTCTAATTCAAAGCATTTAAGCTAACCTTTTTAACACCTAATATCCTTGTGTAACTAGAGGTCTGAAAGTACCTCTCAAATATTTCAAAACTTGTTATAACTACTAAATAAAACATTTTTTTTAGTAGGTTTCCTTCATTCATTTCCTCATTATATTAAAAACAAAGGAACTGATATTTCATAGTTTTATTTACAATTTTAAGAATGCACCTGATTCATGTTAGCAAAACTATAATTTATATTTGAGAACTGTTGATCAACTAAACATTGTAGGTAGATTTAGCTATTACTCTGGCTCAAAAAACATAATTCTTATGTATCCTTGAATGAATTAATCATTTTCAACAAATGAAAAATGAGGAAATACCATTTTTCAACAATGAATCAAAATATTTGATTTTGAGCAATGTATCAGTTACAACCTAACCTGAGCATGTAAAGAGAAAAAAGTAAAACCTGTGCACAAGAAACACCTATGGAGCCACAAAAATGTGTTTACTGTAGGGAGGGAGGTGTTCATTACAGATAGGGTGTTTTATACAGAAGTCAGTAGAGTATGTGCGAAGAAAGGTGTCCACAAGAGAGAGGTGTTTACTAAGACAGGTTTTACTGTATGAACATAGTAATGGGGAAAATTACTCCTTCATTATGATTGGTATTAATTACAGCCATGCAAGTAACATAAAAATTCTCATATTGTAGATTAACCTTAATTGAAAAGAAATGACAAGATAAAAACTGTCATGTTTGAATATTTCAGTTGGAAAAATACCTGCATTTGTTTTTAGATGGATTATTAATATGCAACAAATATGTTCACGATATTGATTGACCTGACGTTAATTCGTTGAAATCAATTAACGATTCAATTCAAGTTGTTGTTATCGTTGTTTATTCAATAACAAAATCATTGTGAATTTATCCAGGTTACTTTGTTATTGTATCACGCTTCTCTATCTCAGTCTGCTCACTGGCTAAATTATATGGGTAGATAAAACCGTGTACCGGGTAGTAAATCCTCCATACTGGGTTCAAACTTGGTACCCAGTACCCGGTCGAAAAAACCTGGTACCCAAAAAATGAAAAATACGAATATTTAACATAATAAGATCATTAGAAAACGTGTAAGATTTGCTTTGAATTTACAAAAATGTACTTCCTTCAAAAATGAGCTAGAAGCTTCAAATAAAAACCATATTAAGGCTCTTTTCTTCCTCTATCATCATGGTCATAGTTTCATTGGTTATGGGAGGGGGGGGGGGTGCGATCGCACCATCGAAACCCCTCCTGGCTACGCCGCTACGCCTATGACATTGAAAGATGATTTGAAAAACATGACAAATCAATCTTACTCTATTTTCAATAGTTCGTATGTTGGTACGTGAATTGTTTTGATTATGATTTAATTCTGTAAATAGTTATCGTTACTTTAGTAGAGAGGTGACGTGTGTTAATTTACATGATGCAGCGTGTAAGATTTTGATTATCTATCATAATTTAATTAAGTTACCCCAATTTTTTACCCCAAATGTTTTACTTATTTTTAAGAAATCATACCATTATGTTTTCCTTACAACCCTACATTTTTTTCTGAAAAAATGAGATCTGACCACACATAGAAGTTATTGTAGATTTAAGTTGCAGAAATGCTGAATAGAATTGAAAAGGCATCCATATTGAAACACCTACCTTATTTTAGTAAATGGTTTACTTACTGAACTATAAAAGGTAGCTTTAAAAAAACTAAAGGTGTACAATGCAATTCCTATTAATTCAACACGCTGCTGTTGCCCTAGATAATACATCAAGTTAGGCTAGATTAGGTAAATCTTAAGTTTAACATTATTTTGTCGAGTCACAATGTATGCTTTATCATGTATTTTGCTTTCCTTTTGAAATATTTAGAAAGCACATTTCTAGTAGAATAAATGAATTCTTAGAGACGTAGACTCATTGTTTAATTTCCGTAAATGTAGAAATCTTTTTTATTTATGTATTTTATTTAATCTGGCCTTAATATGTTCAGGTATCTCAGGTGTTGCAGGCTCAGTTAGCTAACTATAAGCTTTTAATATCATGAGTCAATAAAACAATAAAAACTAACTGTTTAACACATGTGCTTGTATGAACCTTGGAACCTTTATTCTTGTAAAATACTGACCTAATATATAAAATACAGTAAAACCTGTCTAATCCAAATGACTCTGGGATCAGCCAAAAGTGTTCGGATTAGCAGGTGTTCACATTTCAATGTTTTTCCAATATGAAGGTCAATGAGAGATAACAAATTTGGAATCGAGAAAAAGTGTTCATATTGAGAGGTGTTTGGATTAGAGAGGTGTTCGGATATACAGCAATTAATAATTATATCTTTTTATTAGGTAAGAATTCCCACCATATTGAACCTTGAATTAAAGCTCATTTTGACAATTTGAATGGAAGTATTTGTGTGGATGTATGTGCTCTGAGTTGAAATGTCACAATTGGCAATGAAATTTAGCAATTGACCTGAATAAACAAGTTTCTGGCACAAGCGCTATACTTTCATTTCACTGTGTTACTAATTCCAACCAATGAGAGATGGGAATACATATACCTGTACCTATACCTGATGATATCCCATGGGATATGATGATATCCCCATGTTAAGTCAATAGTGCTTATCCCTGTGTTAACTCAATACACACTTGCTGAAATCCTCCAGAAGAACAATGGTTGATTAACCTCAACTTAAACCAAGGGAAAGATCAATACCCGGTGATTTCAGCGGGAAGTGGCGTTTCGTTCAGTGGATGAGCTGCGCGCGCACGCATAAATGTGATTATCCAATATAATTAGGGGAGGGCTATTTGAAATAGTTTTTGGTCTCAGGCGCGACCCAGGGCTGTTGTCTTAAGGACATTTCGTTGAAAATGAGCCATTCGGCTGATAATTGGTAAGAGTTTGCGATCTTATAATGTATAACTGTAACTCAGACACATATTTTGACACGATTCTGTTGGAAATAAGCTTTGAACCGAGAGATATTCACGATTGATATGCACATTTTTGATTGTGCCATTGCTTTTCCATTGCACAATCCATGTATTGATCGAAGAAACATTAATAATGCAGATTGGTTTACCTTCAATACATGGCAGACACTACATATCGGTCTATTAATACCAGTGTGTGCCTTAAATAGTTTTATATTTCCATCCACGGCCTGGAGCCTGGGTGTGTTTGTCTCTTATGTGTATGCTTGTGCATGGACTTCTAATCACTAGCAGAATTTAACATGATGCAAACTCGACATTATAACTCATGCTGTAACATTTTGACTTCGCTGGAAAACAATAGGAATTATTTTTCTTGCCAATCAATCATGAATCACAATCAAAATTTCAGAATGATCAATCAGGCAATGGTCCAAATCAAGTTATAACATTATATGATATTCAGCAAGAAGTCCGGTAGAAATACAGAATATTTAAACATCAAAGCTGAAAGTTAAAAGCTAATCTGTCAATTTTCTGTCTGCAAAAGAGGGTTCACATTTGACACAATAACAGACTGAGGCTTTGAAATCTAGGATTCCCCAGGGAAATATGACGTCATACTAATTAGCATAAGGATTTCCCTATTGGTATGGGTCGAGCCTTGTTCGAAAACACAATCCATAAATACATGCTAATTTCTAAGGAGATAGGAAGTGTATGACGTGTTTATCGATTTTGTTTAAAGATTTAATCAATTATCAAATTGTTTAAGTGGATAAAGTGGTCACACTTGCTTCAATTCATAGCGAAATCGACGGATAGAAACTGACCGAATTCCCGATATCCTACCCCGTATTACTGTAGGCTATAAGCACAGTGACCTTCAGAGGGCGCTATCACAAACAAGTACTGCACGAACCGATAAATTCCCGGGTATTGTAACGCCCTTGCTTAAACAAGAGGACTGTGAATATGATTGATGTTAAGTATTTTCAGATCTTGAAAAATGTAAATGTATGTGCTAATCTGTATCTATTTTCATTGGTGTTCGCACTCTTCATGGGGATTATCTTGAGCTTCACCAATTAATCTACTTAACTCCATAGGATTAAATACTAAATTTTCATAGACAATCAAGTGCTAAATATCAGGCTTTA